CCACCCCACAAATAATTGTAGACCAATAACTTTATTCAATATGTCTAAAAAAATAATTTTACTCAATTTTATCCACAAATACACAAATAACTGATAACCAATATAAAAGTATTTCAATAGGTTGGAATGCAGACTCTTTTATATGGTCATAAAAAAAATTCAATATTTATTGAATATGAAATAGATAAATCAACAAGCTCAATTTAAAGATATCTTTCATTTGAATAGAGGTGCAGTAGAGTAATGGATAATGGCTTGGATTGAGTAATCATATAGTTGAATTCATTAAATTTACTTAAGTGTAAATACCCTTGAGAAAGGTATGAATCCATCTCTTTGCTCTCTCCAGTTATGGGCTAAATAGCAGGATAAATCAAATCCAATAAACTTGGGTGGAAATCTGTCTAAAAGAAAGACAACTCTTGAATTCAGAACCTGATTTGTCAAGTGGTTGGCAGATAAAATTGCTCCTTCACCAAAATCTGGTTAAATCAAAGCTGTTAAGAGTGGATGAACTCCTCAAAGTGAACAGCCACCCAATTATGGGTTAAATAACATCACCAGCCTGCAATTAGTCAAGCGTCATAAGTTAAAAAACCAACAGCATCCATAATAAAAATTGTTGCCATCTGATATTTTACATTATTACAACTTAGTCAAATGGACACCATTTACATTGTTTAAACTGGTCCTCCATTTACATTGTTTAAACTGTTGTCCTCATCTTTATTGTCATATTCACAACAACTCATCTTTATTGTCATATTCACAACAACTCACCTTTATTGTCATATTCACAACATCAGGTGATATACATTGGAATTTCAAGCCAAACTCTTTATTTAGTCCATGGGGGTAGAGTGTTCTAATTTCACATGTCAAACCTTTTCTGATACCTCATCTCAGAAATATACTCAAATGAAGTCGAAAAATTTATTTAATTATCTAAAAGTCAAAATAATGTTTGATAAAGAAATTTTTTAACTGTACTGAATTATTTCAATAGTGAAAAATGGCAAGTTTTCTGAATTATTATTATTATCATTATTATTATTATTAATATAAACTTATTAATATACAAAATTATACAAATTTTCCATCATTGTCAGCTTTATGTAGCTACGTCCAAAGTAGGATTGATTGATCTGTTTTTATCGCTTATCAACCTTTTGCAGGTTATTTAAAGCCAGAAAATAGTTTTAGATCTGAAGATTTTTTGAGATAATAATGACTTACCAATACAAGTCCTACTAATTAATTCATGATGGGAAGAAGTGGATTTATGCCTTTCAAAAGGGTATTTGTACATACAGTGGAGGTGGGGGCGAAGATAAATATTCATACATATACAAATTTTTAATTTATTTTCAACTAATGAATAAACATACTTTTCATATAATTAACTGTACACAAAAGCATAATAACTAAATATGCATAGAAAACATTAAAAAATTTGATTTAATAGAAATAAATCCTATTTATCCATTTTAATGGATGAAAATTCTTTCTCCTTCTTTTCTTCTTTCTCCTTCTTTCTCTTTTCTTTCTTTCTTTCTCTTTTTCTTTTTTCTTCTTTTCTTTCTCTTTCTTTTTTCTTTCTTTTCTTTCTCCTTCTTTTTCTTTTCTTTTCTTTTTCTTTTTCTTTCTTTTTCTTTTCTTTTCTTTCTTTTCTTTTTCTTTTTTCTTTTTCTTTTCTTTCTTTCTTTTTTTTTTCTTTCTTTTCTTTTTTTCTTTCTTTCTTTTTCTTTTTCTTTTTTTTCTTTCTTTTTTTTTTTTCTTTTTTTTCTTATTCTTTCTTTTTCTTTCTTTCTTTCTTTTTTCTTTTCTTTCTTTCTTTTTTTCTTTCTTTTCTTTCTTTTCTTTCTTTTCTTTTCTTTCTTTTTTTTCTTTCTTTTCTTTCTTTTCTTTTCTTTCTTTCTTTTCTTTCTTTTCTTTCTTTTCTTTTCTTTTCTTTCTTTCTTTCTTTCTTTCTTTCTTTCTTTTCCATTTTGTTTTGTTTTTCTTTATTTATTTCTTTTCTCTCTCTTTTCTCTATCTCTTTCTTTTCATCTTTTATTATAAATCAAAAACACCAGTTTCATGATCCGAAATGAAATGAAAACTGTTTGCTTGCATAACTTGATGGCCTACCATCAATATCAGTATTTTCTGTGCTCAGTTTATATTGGCACAAGGCCACTAGTTTTGAGCACTGTATGAAGATAGAAGATATTACAGCATATATTTTGCCAATTGTCTCCGATGACAGTGTCTTCCACAGGAAAAGGAAAGTATTTCCCAATTTCTCTAGTGGGAAGTGTCTGTCCATCGTTAAAATTAGAACTGGAAATTCGATTGTTTTTAGACAGTCTTGAACTCAGACCTATTGGAAAAAATGAAACTTCATCTGTGTTGTGTCAGTCTTGCTTTGTCGCTAAAGTCGGATGATGAAAAATTTTTTTTGGTTTATTAAGTAAAAAAATAAGACTTTCTGAAAACCTGTTTACATGTTTTTTCCACCCCCCCCCCACTATCTTTGTCCAATCTGTCCAGCAATGTCATAATTTTGTCCCCTTTCATCTTTACAAAATTCTTTGAATGAAAATTATTTTGAATCTTGGGAGACAAGAAAAGGGGGAGTGGTTGGGAAATTATACTAAAGAAGAAGGAACAAAAATACAAGACAATGACCTTTAATTTTAGTCGGTATTGTTTTAAGCTAGCTCAAGTCCAAAAAAATATACTGTATCTTCTGGTCAAGTGTTTATTTTATAGACGCCTCCAATAATGACGATGCATTCTATAAAAGATTTACATTTGTGCAATACAACCTTTTCTAAAATGGTTTTTCTTTTTTTTTCTTGTCCAAAAGAGACTCCAACTTAATTTTATTTTCCTAATGTATAATAAATAATATTATTTCTTTCCTCGGCCTATGTGGAGTAACTTTCTGTAATATGCTGTGTGCGATAGATAAATTGTCGTTGAAATTATGCAGAAATAAAAATAACGCTGACATCTCGTTTTATCAGATATACAGGGTGCGATGGATAAATTGTCGTCTAAACGACGCCAAAATGAAAACAATGCTGACATCTCATTTTCAGAGATATACAGGGTGCGATGGATAAATTGTCGTCTAAATGAAGGGAAACATCTGACCTCATTTAACAGATATACTGGGTGCAATGATAAATTGTCGTCTCAATGAGGAAATTATTATTAACTTTTTCTCAAACAGATATATTTACCAAAATTACACAAAATATCTTCATCTGGTGAAAGTGAAATTTATTCAAAAGAAAATAATTTGCTTTGATTCTCCAGATGACATTGGAATCTTCTGCAACTCTTGACTTCCCTGTTTAAGTTGACGTCGGGTTTTGATAATCCTTGATGAGTTCATAGAGTTCATCTTTTGGTCTCCCCCAAAGAAAGATATAATAATTTATTTGGCAATCTGGGGTTTGTGAAAAAATGTTTTGTCGATGGAAAAAAAAAATTTGTAAGAAAATTCTCTGGCTGGATTCTGGGAGTTAATGTCAGTCAGGTCTTCCAGTGTCAGGGGTGATGTCACCCTCTTGATCATCATGACAGCTATGACTCTTGATGGGTGGCAGGCAAAGGTGGTGGCCCTGAGAAACAATGGAGGGTCTTCAGTAGCCACCCTCTTGAATGAAAGAGTGAGTTACTAATCCTCAGAGAGGAAGAATCTCTATTTGAATTTCTATTCCCTAACCTTCACAAATTCAGGAGTTCTTTTCCTAAATGGAAAGTGATTGAGTTTTCTGTACTGCCATTCATTTGTAATTTCAAAGAGAATTTTTCAATTCTTTCAAGAATTATCTGCACTGTTCTCAACTGGGACCCTACTATACTTTGCACGATGTTTGTATTGAATCAAAACAAAAGGCAAGCAGTACAGCGATTTAAAAATTCAAATTGGCAACAGAGCCGAGTGTTGCCTGTATATTCTTTTTTTCAAAAATTCAGTCCCCAAAATTTAAATTCCTACCTAAAGCAAAGTTTATTGATGAACAAAAAATTACCAAAACTCGCTTAAGTAACGCAAAAATGTACTTTCCAGAAAAACGGGTAAGAATGTATCATCCTGTATATTCAGAAACCACCATTTCTGTTATTTCTAAAACATAAATGATGCCTTTTTTTTATTTTAACCAGTGTAATTACATTATCATTAGAAGTTGAGATCACCCAGATTCAATGTACTTTCCAGTTCTAGCCTGATTGATTTTTTTTATATTGTTGAGTGTTTTACCATTTAGGTTTTTTTTTTTTTTTAAGAAACATACTTATTGCAGGCCAACATATGAATGTGAGCTGAGAGATGAAGTTGATTATTTAACATGGAACGAAAAACCAGATATATATCATGGACAAGGAGTTCAACATAGAATTTTTTATATTAAGTGAAACCTTTTTTTTTCTTTTTTTTTTTTTTTTTTTTTTAAGAAACATACTTATTTCATGAACATATGAATGTATGTCTTTTCATTGAATATTTTTATAATATCACTATTAATAAAAAAAAAATTGATTTAATCATGGAAATTGGCATGGCAATTCCTTTTCTAAGTGAGCTGACATCCATTACAAATATTTTTTTCTTTTTAAAATTTCTCTTTCTCAATGGGAATTAGTTTTTTCCATTATAAAGGATCCATAGATCTTTCAGGAATGATAATGCCTGAAATTGAGGAGAAGAAGAGACAAACAATGGAAAAAGGATGAGGGGCCAAAGAAAGAAAAAAAGAAGGAAGGAAGAAAAAAGGGGGAGGAAGGAGACTGAGAGGAAGGAAGGAAGGGAGGGAGAAAAGAGAAGGAAGAAGAAACGAAGGGAAGGTAGGAAGGAAGGAAAATTGGAAAATGGAGGAAGGAAGAAAAGAATAAGGAAGATTGAGAAAATTGAAGAAAAAGAAGGAAGGAAGGAAGATTAAAAAATGGAGGAGAAGGAAGGAAGGAAGAAAAAAAAAATGGGAAGGAAGGAAGGAAGAAAAAATTTAGGGAAGGAAGGAAGGAAGATTGAGAAAATGGAAGGAAGAAGGAAGGAAGGAAGAAAAAAATGGAAGGGAAGGAAGAAGGAAGAAAAGATTGAGGAAATGGAGGAGGGAAGGAAGAAAAACGAGGGAAGGTAGGAAGGAAGAAAAACGAGGGAAGGTAGGAAGGAAGAAAAACGAGGGAAGGAAGGAAGGAAGAAAAACGAGGGGGAAGGAAGGGAAGGAAAGAAAAAAATGGAGGAGGGAAGGAAGGAAGGAAGATTGAGAAAATGGAGGAAGGAAGGAAGGAAGAAAACGAGGGAAGGAAGGAAGGAAGGGAAGAAAATGGAGGGAAGAAGAAGGAAGAAAAAATGGAGGAAGGAAGGAAGGAAGATTGGGAAAATGGAGGAAGGAAGGAAGGAAGATTGAGAAAATGGAGGAGGGAAGGAAGGAAGGAAGGAAGAAAAAAGGATTCAGGAAATGGAGGAAAAGAAAATGGAAGGAAGGAAGATTGGAAAATGGGAGGGGAAGGAAGGAAGGAAGGAAGGAAGAAAAACGAGAGGGAAGGAAGGAAGGTTCAGAAAACGAGGGAGAAATTGAGAAAAAGAAAGAAAAAGAGAGAGAGGGGAGCTGAGTAAAATTTGTGAAAACAAACTCCAGTTTTTTTTTTTTTTACACAAATTTCTTTAGTCAGAAAACGTTTGCATCCGAATCAATTTTTTTTATTATCATTTTTACTTAAAATATTTGCTATTATTATTATTTATATTTAAAAAAAAACATGTCCTAGAGAGAATGGTTAACAAGTTCGTCTTATTTTAAGACTTTTTAATTAAAATAATTAAGTATTCGTCACTGTGCGTCTGCCTTAATGAACAAACATTATTATTATTATTATTATTGCTACATCTTGTGAACTTTACTGAAGGCAGGGGCAGGTTAAAAAGACCCCCGCCTCTTAAGAACATAAATAGTAATAAGTAAAGTTTTTAGAACATTTGTTCATTTCAGAAAAAAACAAAAATATTTTTTTTCAAATGAAAATTTATGGTGCAAGATTTTCTGGGAACTTCCAGTGACTATTTTTTTTTTTCTTTTTAAATCAAATCCACGTCCATGGACCGAATTGAAACCAAAAAAGAAAATATAAATATAATAATAGTAATAAAAAGAAAATTAAAACAACATACAGAAAGAACATTTTTGAAAGGTTTGCAAAAATTATGTCAATGTAAAAAAAAAAAAAAAAAAAAGTCCTTGAAACGTAAAATTTCTCTAAATGCTTATCATCTCTGCTTTTTTTATCCATGGTCTCTAAACAGGACTTAATTAGTGACTGGAGGGGTTTCTTTCTTTCTTTCTCCTGTGTATAATGTCAGTTTAATTTTGTTTGTAAGAGAGTGATTATTTTCCCCCAGAAAATATCTCACTTTTTCTGTCTATTTTTAAACAAACAAGAAAGAAATCAACCACAGCCTGAGAATTTTTTAAAAATATTCATTCGTTTTAAAAGTGTGATCTGTATCTAAAAAGGAAGAGACTTCCTCTAACTTTTTTTTCACCAGTGACGACAGTCATTAAAAAAGAAGAAAAGGAACTGTCTGTCAAGTAACCTATTTTTTTGTTTTTTACATTCAAGTTGCCATCATTGAATACCCGACCATTCACCCTAACTTCTTAGTCATTAACTCACAACAAAAGATGGAATGATTTAAAAAAAAAAAAAAAAAAATGTCTCAATTGTAATGTAGATTTGATTTTCAGTCTTTATTTTCATGAACTCTTAAAATTTAAGATGAAAACGAAGCGGATTTGACTCATAGTATTTTAAAACGTCTCAATTTAAATTCGTCTTTCTTTAACATTTTGCATATTTAAAAGTCTAAAATATAGGTTAGTCCGAAATTCTGTAGACAGCCTTTGCTTTTTAAATAGTGAGAATCGCACGAATACGCGAAGAAAAAAAAAGGGGGGGGGGAAATTGTCTGGTTCCATCGGCTTTGCTTTTTAACGCGCTACAGACGTAAGGGAATAATGGCTCTGCTTGACCCTTCTAGTCTTGGTGAAATGGGGAGGTGCATCTTCTTGTGTGAACACGTTCATTGGAACTAGACATTGCTGGACACGAATAACCAGGGGACAAGCATAAATGCAAGAACTTTAATTTTAGGACACTTTTCTTCTTTGTTTCTCAAGTCATAGCAACTTAAATACACGTGCCAGAATTTCTTTCTTTGGAGATTCGACGAAAGTCTGTGTGTGGAGTGGGGTAGAGAATATAACTGAATGACAACATGAAAAGATAAACTCCTAGTTTTTGCCCTACGAAAGGACTTTTTCAGATTAAAAGTTTTGTCAGAGTCATACAGGTATCTCCAAAGATTCGCTATTAAAAAAAAAAAAAAAAAGTAAGCATGCTGCATACTTGAAAAAATACCCGACAACAAAGTTTCATTGTCAAAATATTTGATTAAATCTTTTTGAGCCCTGGCCACTGCTTTACCGGTGGTAGAAAAAAAATGACAATGCCCAGCTACTGGTTGAACGGTGGGTAAAAAAACACTTAACTATCTACCTTGAAACATTGCATACCAATTATTTGCGAATTTTGACTCGGGAGCTCAGGCAGAAGGATTAAAATTGTTCAGGAACTCAGCGCTCAGAGAGTTAAGACTAAGAGGAAAAACCAGAGGATTTATTATTATTTTTTTAAATTTAATCTTTTTTAGAACCTTCGAAAGTTTGGTTCGTTAAAATTAAAAATGTGTTTCTTGCGTGGTGGTCATAAATTAGTATAGAAAATTTCAGCGACTTTTGCAGATTGATTTGGAAATACAATCAAAAATGAAATTATTTTAGAATCTTGGTCTCCCCATTTTATGAAATTACGAAAAATTCATTTTTGTAGACCGTATCAGTTAAGGACAAATCCTCGGAGAATTTAATTTTTTTTTCTCAAACAGTTACAGAATATCTACTTTATCGTGTAATAAAAAATTATTTCATTATTTAATTAGAAAAGCTTTTAATTGCATTTATGAATAAGATATGGACGTTATTTTTCAAGAAAAAAATATTTTTCAATGAAAATGAATTTTTACAATTCTTTACAATTTTAATTAGGCTTTTAAATCTTTAAAAATTCTGTCTTAGTTTGAACCGGTAAAGTTAAAATATATTTTTACTAATCATAAATAGAAAAGCTTATCACAATTCAGCCACACCCAGTATTTTAAAAAGAATTTGTCTGTGTGCATAAACGTGTCGATTTTTTGTAAATATGGACACAAGACATTATCGGAAAATAAGAACGATACTATAGTAAATTTAAAGCCAAAGTACATAAAATTCAATAAAACACTAGATTACGGAGAATAATCAGACGATCCTTTTAAGGAAATTAAGCGGCCAAATAAAAATGCCAAAATCTGACGACATTGAAAAACCCAGACGACACGCGAAAAACGGATGTGATTGTGAGCAGGGACCACTACCTCACCTTAACTTGATTTTTCAAGTAACTTCTATTTTGATACAGAAGTTGTCTAGGGAAATTAAAACCCAACCACCCCTAATCAAAATGATGGAATTTTCCGTAACCTTAACAATTTAAAATATTAAGATTGTCTGTGATAAATGAAGTAAATTTCTTAATAGGTTATCCCCAAAAAATCGCTTGAGAATGGAACGGAGTATGAATTTTTAAATTTAATTTTATAATTAAATTTAAAATTTGATTGTTTTCAAACATGGTCATTCCTGTGTAGCAATGGAACCATATTTTTAAAATAGAAAATAGTTATATTATGCTCTACTGTTTTGTATCGAGCACTGTTTTTTTTTTTTTTTTTTTTTTTAGATAAAAATAATTACTAAGAACACCGGATTGTAAATCTTACTGTTCTTTCTTATATATCATAAATGCGAATGCCAGCGTGTCACACTTTTTCAACATTATTCCTAGATCCCGTAACCCAACATATCATACCATTTTGGAATCAGGTTGGCTCTGTGAGCAAATTAAAACCATTCCAGGCCAGATTTGGACCCTCAATCCTGAAATTTTGGATTCCCAAGTTTTCATTACTACGATTGTTTTCGGCGATTTTTTTTACGTGATTTTTTGCGACGAATTTTTTGTACGATAACAATTTTTATAACCTGGAAATAAATTTGTGGAATAATCGAAATTATTTGCGAAATCCAGCCAAAGTCACCCATGAAATAAAAATAATTGTTTGTACGGACCTACGTACATCAAAGTGTCTTTAAATTAAGTGGCGGCAGAAGAATTATCGTTGAACTTTTAAAAGATAAGCTTAAATATTAACGTAATACTTTAGTGAAGCGATCAATTTTGAGTTCATCTGTAGTTTATTGTTGTCTATCGCATCTACTCCTCCCCACGTATTGTGATGAAGACCTAATCAAGAGCCTGCCACAAGCTAATATATAACTCTATTGATAAAATCATTATTAGTCTGAAGAGAATATTTTGCCGAGCGAAACGCATAACGTAAGAGGTTATTCCATTGTAACATGCTGCGATGGGCATAAAACCAATGTCTTCTAACACCGTTTGCTTCATGCTAACTTTAGCCGGTAATCATGAAGTTACAGTTTGGTGAAGGATGCGTGAATTAGGCGTAGCTCTTACCGTCGTTCGTCTTCCCCACCTAGTCATCTAGTGTCGTCTAGTGGAAATCTTCCTTTAGGTGTGTACCCGCTGCGGGTCAATTATGCAGTGTCTTTCATTTCAATCCAACAGGGCACGGGGTTTTGTTTGTGATTCAGGCGATGCTCCGTTTCTAGCGACTTTAATTCGGGAAACCTTCCAAAAAGGCGGAGAGTTTCTAGCAGAAAGAAACTTGATAAAACTGTCAACAATTTATTAATGATGAGAAAATATGAAAGTTGCCGCCATCACATTTACGCGGTTCGACTTCATTTCAGTAAATTCTTTTCTTGAGACACAGGGGTATCTAATGGGTGAAATGCAGCTGTGTTGCCAACTTCGCTGCTGCTAAAATTTCGGCAAAATTTTGATATTTTATTTATGAAAAAATGTCATAACTGAGATATTTTTATATTAATAAAAATAAGATCATATAAATTTCATAAGATGATAGTGATACTTGTAGGTACCCTTCTCAGTTGAAATTGAAAAATCAAATTAACTTCCACACGTGTTTCCAAAAAGTAAAGGCCTTAACAGCGAAGAACAAGGCTTAATTCAAATAACGCAAATTAATTGTATTCTGGTTGGTCTTCCGTACTTTATAATTACAGCCCGATTATAAACACAAAATTACATTTCTTAATTACTGCAGATCTTCTGATTAGTCAAAATGATACAATTTACAACGCGCTAAAAAAAAAAAAAAAAAAAAAAAAGAAGATCTATCTTATGAGGAGGCTTAGGAAATCCGATGCGGGTTTAACTAATTTTATAATATTTTAACAACTTAAATGTAAAAATAAATAAATAATGGTATTAAAAATTCATTTTTCATCGAAAAAACTGTTTGCTTTCAGAAAATATTGTCAATATTCATAAAAGCAAATAAAAGCATTTGAAAGTAAATAATATCTTTGTTTTATTGAGTTTTGTATGTTACAATTCAGAGCTGATTTTCAGGTTTTCCAATTAAAAAAAAAAAAAAAAAAAAAAATATTTTGCATTCCTCAAAGCCTTGTGCTGTTAACTATTGTAATCGCTAAACCTGATGCGATCGAATTTCCTAGCGTTTTCATAAAATTAGTTATCGGGGGGTAAAAATATAAAAAATATTTCTGCCATGACTTTAATAAAAAAAAAAAACAACACTTATAATAATTTCGATCATCTGTGAATAGTTCCTGAAAGTTTCATTAACATCAGACAATTATTTTTATTTTTGCAAGATTTTTCCAAATTAATGTGTCATACCAAAAAAACGTGCTAAAAATTGTCTGTTATTTTACTAGTTCCAGTGACACAAAGAGAAACAAGGTTTTTTGGGGTTTTTTTTTAATCAAAATTTAGAATGTTCTAAAAAGAAGGAAATTTTTTTTTTTAAATAATTAACATAAACTTTGGTCTTTACTCTTAATAATAACATAAGCATTTAGACGATAAAATTTTGTTTTCGGCAAGGTTGGTGTCTTTTTCATCAAGGTATGCTTTTTTTAGCGATTTCGTGGAGGTACCTAGCTTAACTCTTTGCAGGTTATTTAAAGCCAGAAGATATTTTTAAAATGGAAGAATTTGTTTCAAGATAATGGATTATTGATACCAGTTTGACTAATTAACCCATAGCTGGAGAAGAGATGGATTTATACCTAATCAGAATTTGATAAAGAAGAAATTGATACGGATATAAAGTGAGGGATCAATTCTATATTACAATCAATGCAATCTGATCCCTCATTTTGTGGCCATGATAATTTCTGTACATTTATATACCAGAGAATGTAAATTAATCTAAGAGACATACTTGCTTAGCTAATCAGTATTTCATTGATTCATTCATTTTTTATGGCTTATCAACCCTTTGCAGGTTATTTAAAACCAGAAAACATTTTTAGACTGTAAGAATTTGTTTTGAGATAATGGTTTAGTGATACAAGTTTGACTAATTAACCCATAGCAGGGAGAAAAGATGTGTATTTATACCTTTCCCCATGGGTATTTGCGTGTAAGTAAATATAACAAACCCAACGTTCACGGCACGATAGCGGCTTGGATTGAGGAATCCGAGAGCCGAGTTCGAATTCCAGTCGAATCCATTACATTCACTTATGTACTAATACCCTTGTGAATCCTCTTCTCCCTCCAGCTATGGGTAAATAGCAGGACAGCCTGGGTTCTATAGCCTTGGATGGCAACTCTGAAAAAATACAAAATTTGCGGATTTGTTCGTTTGAAAACCTTGGCAATTAGTGCACCAGGTCTTTGTAATCGGCCCTTCAAAAAGTGTGTATGGTCCTGCACGAAACCTTCACCACATAATCAAATCTCATGCGGTATACATGCGGGTTGAGGACCGCTTATTTTCCAAATTCCCATGAAACTCTAATATTGGAGCCGGCTCAACCCACCCCGGGTGAATGCCGTTACAGGTAGGTAACGTTCTTACTTCTCTTGTAGATCTTCTTTTTTTTTAACCACTATCCAGTATTGCACTCTTAGCAACTCTGATCATGTGGTAGTGTATGTAAACATCTCCATCCGGTCTCCCTCAACCAACCAAGAACCTCCTACCAACAGAATATGATATCAACGAACGGATTGGGACTCGTTCCGTGATTTCCTTCGTGAGGTCCCCTGGAATGCAGTTTTTAATCATCCTGTTCAAAAATGGGCGTCTGGGGTTTCCTTCTGGTTGAAAGCCGGATATCGATGATTTCATTCCAGCAAGGAAATACCAAGTTCAACCGCATCCATCTCCTCGATTCTCACCTGCATTCTTGGCCACCATAGTGCCAGACCTCACGTTTCTTTAGCGACCTGGAAAAAATTGTTGCAGCTTGGCTGGGATGTGTTACCCCACATCGCCATATCCAACAGACATTGCTCCTTCGGATTTTCATTTATTCAGGTCCTTGCGATATAATCTGAACGGTAAAATTTTTATTTTTTGGATGACATAAAAAAAACAAAAAAAAAAACACCTTAATGGGTTCTTGCCGAGAAACCAAAATTCTGTGAAGGAGTCTTAAGTTGAAGGAAACATTGAGAAAGACTGTGCAACAAAATGGTTCATATTTTGTTGAACAAATATTTAATGGCAAAATTTTTTGTGTTTTAATTTCCCTTAAAAATCACCACAAACCTTCCGGACAACTCAAGAATAAAATAACATAACCGTAATAATATTCTGTAATAAAACTAGTAGTACCTAGGTACCTCTCCACCGATACCTAAGATTTATGAATTTCAAATAATTTAAAAACCTTTCTTGAAGGTTTTAGTTTAGTGTTAATTTCAAACTAATTGTAGTGAACGTATAAATAAGCATCCTCGAAAATGAAACCACGTCATGTGTACCGTTTTCCAAGGAAGAAGTATGAAAGCCAGCCAGAAAAAGAATATGGCAAGAAATGCTTACCTGAGTAAATTACGTTCTGCATGTTGGCCTATCCCAAAGAAAAACACGCATAAACTCTTGTTGTCCGCGTGAGTCTCGAAGGATATGTAAATTACTGAACGATATTCGCGTTGTGCTATGCAAATTAAGTTCTATAAAACGGGTAAGTTGATTTCAGTCGTGGAGTCGTTAAGTTGCGTGGAGGGTGAGTTCTTGAGACGTGCGACTTGAATTTTATCCCCTACCTAACATTCTGCTACACTAAAATTGAATATTTTCAATAGGCCAAATACTTTACTGTCTTTAAATTGACTGGAAGGTGTTTTTGCTTTGAAATTGCTAACCATCGCTGATTTTAGCGCTGTTTTTAGACCTTTCATCACGATGTAATTCTCTTTATTAAGAAATCTTTCAAAAATCAAATATACTTTTCTGAAACTTTATTTGAGGAATATCATCGGGTTTAAAACATATTACTTACTTTAAAGTTTAAAATATTGCAGACATACATTTCTAAACGGCAGCAGCTGTTTATTTTAGGTGTTGACAGTTTGAATAACAGACGGAAGTTTATGTAATCTTTTCTACAGTGGACATATCTGTAAAATTTACTTCAAGAATATAACATGAGCGCCTCTTTTAATATAATTTTGAACTACCCAGCAATCTTAAGTTTAGGAAAATATTCTAGGTAATGTTTTATTGAATTTTAGGTACATTTCGCTTTAAATTTACTATAGTTATCGGTCTTATTTTCTGATAATGTCGTCTATGGACGTCCGTATTTAAAAAAAATTGGTACGTTTATAAACACATATTTAAAATTCTCTTCAAAATATTGGGAGTCGATGAATTGTACTAAGCTTTTCCATTTATGATTAGTAAATATAGTTTTTACTTAATAATAATAATAATAATAATAATATCACCTAATCTCTACAAAGCAAGGCAGAATTTTAAGATTTGAAAAACTTTATAAATTATGAATACAATTTTTGTAAAATGTCATTAGTAATCATATTTTTTCTTAAGACAATAGTGTCAATAATTTCATAAAAGCAATTAAAAGCTTTTTTAATTAAATGTCTTAGTTCTATTACATTTTTTATTTTACAGCAGATTTTGGTAACTGAGGGGCGGGTAAAAAAGAGAAAAAAAATGGAAGATTTAAATTCTCCGATATAAACATTAAGCTCTACAAAATTTAATTTATCAATTTCATATAAAATTAATTTAGTGGTGGTAGGAGTTTAACAGATGTAATTATTTTTTTTGACCAAGATTTTCTTTTAAAAAAAAAAAAACGAAACATTTCTAAAATAATTTCATCAATTTGTGAATAATTCCTGAAAGTTTCATTAAAATATGAAAATTATTTGCTTTCTGCAAGAATTTCCAAATCAATGTTTTTCACTGCAAAAAAGACGCTAAAATTTCCTATACTACTCTTTGGCCACCGCGCAAAATTTCAAACGTTTTAAAAACGAACAAAAAATATAGTAAAAAAAAACAAAAAAACTTTGGCTTTTCCTCTTTAAAGACTAACGATAAAACTTTGTTTTTATTCAGTTGGGTGTTTTTTTTTTTGTTGTTGTTTTTTTTTTTACCAATGTATGCTCAAGTTTTTGGCGAATCAGTGGAAATACTTACTGTAGATATATCTTATTTGCTTAGAAATTATTTGGCAAACTTGGACCTTTGTGCCCCCCAAAAAAGGAGTGACAAAACGACAGTATTTCCCTTACCACCGCTATTATTTTAATTACCTTCACTCTTCCGTCAAGCTTATCTTTTAAAAAGCGATGATTGGAATTTTAATAAAATAAACATATAAAAGGGAATTTATACATATTCTTTGTTCTTGAGAAAAAAAAAACAAAAAATCTTCCCTGGTTACTAAACCTGCCTCCATTTAGCATGTATGGAACATGATGGGACAATGACTGACTTGATCAGTTAGCCCACCTATAACTTCTGTATTGCATCAAGTGCAAAAGACATGGAATAATATATCACAGGATGATAATCGTTATCTATATAATTGCATGCATGCGTGAACACTGAACTGGAGTTCTATTGATCTGTATATATGATCATTTACTGTAATGTAATAATATTACTTGGACATTTAATCCTGAGTAAATTGGCCGACATGTTACAATTTTATTGACTGATTCGTTTTCTACGACTGATCAATCCACATTACAGATTATTTAAAGCCAGAAAATATTTTTAAACTAAGAATTATTTTTTTTTACATAATAATGGTTGATACCAGTTTGACTAATTAAACCATAACTGGAGGGGAGGTGGATTCATACCTAATCAGAATTTGATAAACAAAAAATTATAATGTGGATCGATTATTATAATGAGGGATCGATTCTATATTACAATTAATATATGAACTGATCCCTCACTTTCAGGTCACGGTAATTTCTATGCATTTACAAACAAGAGAATAAATAAATCTAAAAGACATGCCTGTTTAGTTAATCAATATTTCATTGATTGATTCGTTCCTTATCTATGGCTTATCAACCGTTTGCAGGTTATTTAAAGCCAGAAAACGTTTTAGAGTGTAAGAATTTTTTTTGGAGATAATGGTTTTCTGATACAAGTCTTACTAATTAATCTATAGCTGAGGGGAGAAGACATACCAACCTAATCAGAATTTGATAAGCAAACAAGAAATTATAAAATGGATATAAAATGAGGGATCAGTTATGTATTACAATTAATATATAAAATGATCCCTCATTTTTGGCCACTGTAGTTTATATATATATATTCCAGAAAATATAAATAAATCTAAAAAATGCTTGTGTAGCAAATAAGTATTTGATTGATTTATTTACATTCATTTTCTATGGCTTATCAGCCCTTTGCAGGTTATTTAAAACCAGAAAATATTTTTAGACAGTAAAATCTTCAAAAGTCCTTACAAATTAACTCATAGCTGGGGAAAAAAGAGGTGGCTTCATACTTTGCCAAAGGCTATTTGTGCATAAGTGAATATAATGAACCCAACAGGAATTGGAACTCAACTCTCTGATTCACAATTCTAAGCCATTATCCATTACACTACCTGCACATCCAAGCTTTTAGTACCTGGTATTCCCAAGTGGTCACCCATCTAGGTACTGACCAGGCTCAACATTGCTTAACTCCAGTAATCATACAGGAACCGGTGTTTTAGTGTAATGTTGCTGTAAGCTCTTGTAATTTTAAGTCTGTACACATGCTTACAGAAAACAACTTTGTTTTTCCATCACTTGTAAAAAGCTATCTACTGGAAAACTATTTTGAGAAATATTCTGTTACTTTCCACCGCTTACAGTTTGTCGAATTGCAACAAAAACACACAAGAGTATATGAAACTGTAATTTGTGGGTATAGTAAAAGTTGTGTGTGAATGCAGACACACACATTTTTATATATATAAGGGGACATTGAGGTCAACACCCAGCAGTGACAATCTGTTTCACGCTTAAACAGAATCTTCAGGTCATCAAATGCATGGCCTGAATATAGTGTTTAACCAAGATAGACAATTTCTGCTGGATGTTGACTTCAATGTCCACTTTTATATTTTTATCCCTGATATGGAGCACTTTAACCAATAAGTATAGCATACCTTAAAGCTCTATATATTTCATTAAAAAATGAATGATACTTTTACATTTTTTATTTAATTTTTTCCCATATATATATATATATATATATATATATATATATATATATATATATATATATATATATATATACACACACCCCTTGATATGCTAAAAGTAATGAGATAAGTACCTAGTATTGCATATGCAGGTGCCCTTCTGAGCCAACTAAGCATAGAAATACATTGTATTCATTTTTATGCTTAGTTGGCTCAGGAGATTTTTTGTGGCCTAGAATATGTGCTGATTCCTTAAATTTAGGAATTTCAAAAATATACATATATACATCAATTCTGATCAAAATGTGTCAGGACTGTTACTATATTAATGGGGCTAAAATTTGAGTGAAGCACTTGCACAGATTGGCCTTGAACTCTGTTGTGCATGCACAACAAGTTATGATGTTCTTGTTCACTCCTGTCATTTATAGCAGAGGTTCCATTGGTGACCATGGCTTGTGTAGCAGTTTTGGAGCAAGCATGATATTCCCCAAGTCCAACAACCATCATATTCCCCAGTTCTCACTTCTTGTGATTTTTTCCTCATCAAAAATCAAATCCCAGTTGAAAGAAACAATATTTCAAGACGTCGAAGTAATCCATAAGAATGTGACGAGGCAGCTCCTTCACTATTACCCCCCCCCCCCCAACCAAAAAAGGAGTTCCAAGAATGCTTTCATCAATGGAAACAATGCAGGATAATGTATGGCTTCAGATGGGGACTATTTCAAAGGAGATTAAATGACAAATTGATATGTGTTGTTGTAGTTTTCTTTTATAGCATCAGTCCTGATACTTTTTGATTAAAAGCCAACAAAATATTGTCTCCCATGTTGACAACACCCAATTCTTGATAATGACCGAGATGGTCAAAAGTACTTTAACAAAAACATTACACAAACCTTGGGCAGTTTATACACATTTTTTATCCTTCTGTACATCTTATTGAAAATTGGAAAAAAATACATAAAAACATTAAATCCTTCTAGATGGCAGTGAATGTTTTACATTATTTATATGCAGACCATTGTCCTCATCTTTGTTGGTGTTATCACAATGCTTTGGCTTGGCCACTGTGCTTCACGGGCTTCCTCAGGTGTTTATCAATCCAAGTAACCTATAGGAAATGTCTCCATTTTCGTTGGCCTAGCATAGAAATAAATAAGATATGAAAGCCACTAATAAAGAAAGAAAGAAAAATGACAGCAAGGCTTCAACAGCAGCAGCCACACTCAGGTGTTTCGGTTTAAGGCTCCAAGTTCTCTACAGAGAATTGTCTCACAGGACAATAGCCACGTGGATTAAAGAATTGACTTGTGAATTTGGTGACACAGTAATTAGGAGGTCAATCCCTGGGCCAGGCAGTGTGTACTTGGACTCAGTAGAAATGAGATACGAGACATAGGCAAGTGAAACAGTCTACTTCTGGGGATTAAATAAAGTTTTCACTTCTGAATTACCTGTAGGTTACCTGGATTGGTGTACACCGGATGAGGGCTGAAGGATCCAATAGTCAAAATATGGTGATAACAACAACATACATGAGGACAATAGTCTGAATATAAATAATGTAAATAAAAGAATTATTCAGTTTTTAATCAAGACCTTATATAAATACATTCGCGTGTGTAGGAAGTAAACTTGCAAATATTTTTCACGTGTAAAAATTAGAAGGGTTTCTTGTATTCATCAAATGTTCACAGATTTTTTTTATCGAGATACCAAAAGATGCATTCAAATAATGAAAGATGACTTCCAAAAGCTAAGCAATTAAGAAACTTGAAAATTTTGTTAAAAACAAAGAAAGGACACATGGATAAAAGTGTTGATTAGATTCTGTGACTTAACTGAAAGAGTTGGGAGTCAATAGTTGGCCATGGCAGTCGTGAACAAAAACTTGTTCTTATGAGTTAAAAGGAGATAACTGAGACAATTCCTCATCTCAGAAATATAGCCAGATACAAAGAAAGGAGTTTTAAACATATGTAATATAAATTCTCCAATATTCAATGAATGTTGGACAATCTAATCACAGATAAAGAGACTTGGGGTTTGTCGCAAAATTCGGTCCAAACAATAGGAAGGGAACGGGTTGGTCTCGTAAAATTAGGTCCAAACAATAGGACGGGAACGGGTTGGCACGGCACCGCCTACTTCCGGAAACACTCCTCAGCTTAACGACAGCTACAATCCGGCTACAACAACTCCACAGATCTTTGCACTCAAATGTTCCAACACCGCCTCGTAGTTTGCTACACACAACTCTCTCGAGTGGTCTCCCGCCGTCACATTTATCCCAGCGAACACCAACCAATTTGCATACACCCAAGTTCTCCTCTCGCCAATCCTCGCGGCTACGAGATCGCGTTTCCATAAGTCCGACTCACCGTAATGGTGGTGTTTCTTTCTTCGGACCAATTACTGCCCTACACGCCAGACACAAACAAACCCTCTTATGCCGAGAACTGAGGTTAGTCTCATTTTCATGTCCACAGGGTTACAGAAGGTGCTGAGAATACCATGGACAGAGCATGTGGGCAAAAAGGGAGTTTTATGGAAAAACCGACACCTATACTTATAATCAGAAATAGACAGTTAAAATTTCTAGGAAACATAAGGAAAGAAAGCTTGGAGAATTTGAAACTCAGGGAACATAATTAAGGCAAGAGGGGCAGAGGAAAGCAATGAATAAACCCTACCTAATGAATTTGTGCAATAGTTGGAATTAAGAGAGATAGCAAAGACACACATCACTAAGAGCTACAAATGAGGGGAAATAATGGAGAGCAATAATCACCCACATCTTGAAGGTGTGTGGACTTGGAACTGACAAACCAAATTTAAGTTCTGGCAGACACAATTTCTGTTTGTCATGAATTATCTTCCTCTGCCTGTATAATCTGTCACATGTTTGAAGAGGAGGTGTGTATTGTCAAGTAGCACCTCGTCTTACAAGAAATACCATGAAACTACTCTAACCATTTAATAGGTCACTGAACAATTTCAATTTTATTGCTTGAGTATAGATTAGAGTACCCTCCTAATGTTGAGAAAAGAAAAAAAATCTCTCAAAAATCCACAAATAGTGATTATTTTATGGATTTTGTCAAAGGCAGACAAGTCCGACTAAATCCACGCTCTTAATAAGAGAAATACATGTTAATAATTTCCTTTTTATCTCTTTCAACATTTTTGGCATTTTTATAAACCAACCTAAAATGTTTGCTTTTTATACGTAATGTAAACAGGTTCACGATGACATTGGCAGTGCCGAGTGCCTCACTGAATAGACAAACACAGGTAAGCAAAGTATTCCAGTTAAATGTTCAGTTATCATGTGATTGGCTTTTTTAGATTGAGAAACCTTTTCATCAAAGCAAACAAAATCAAAATAATTTTAACAAGTTTATGCCTGCATTTTTTGTAAATAATAATTTATCTGCCTTTTTATTCCAACGAGTATCCTCATTTTGGTTGTCATACTCACTTCATTTGGCTTTTACCAGTCAAATTCTAGTGGATACTTCATATTTGAAATAGATGCCCTATTTTTATTCTTTGTGGCTTAGAGGTAAATAAATAATAAAATGGGTCATCTATTTCAAATACAAAGTACCCACAATAATAATAACAACATTTCAGTTATAAACATTTTGGATTAAAAATAAATCCATTAATTCTTTAGAAAATTGCTTTGTTTACATTTTGGATACAAAACTGAGCAGATATGAAGCTTTTAACCTGAGTGAAGAGGAGGTCCTTTCCTTAAAAAGGGAAAATAGAAATTTAATAAAAATAGAAAACGGAACTCACAATTGTTCAATCTGAGGGGAGGGGGATGATGTATTCTGTTTATTAAGATTTTATGGAATGCACAAGCCAATAGCGGTAATACACACTGCTTACTAAATAAAAATGGGGTGTCTATTTCAAATAAGAAATAGACACTATAATAATAATGTTTAAAGTAATAAAAATATCTGATTAACAATAAAATCAATTAATCTTTAGAAATACATATGTGTTAAGAAAAAAAAAGTGTTACAAGGAACAGTAAAATGGTTGGACCAATGGTAAAATAACAGAATCAAATATGCATAAACAGTTCACAATTTTAGTAACTGCATGTCCTGTTTTACAAAAATTATTGACGATTTAAATTCTCCAAGGAGTTCTATGTGGAACTAATATAAACATTAAGTGGTACGAAAAATAGTTTCTTGAAATTTAATGAAATTAAATAAATGGGGGGGTACACATAGATAAAACAAAATTGTTTTTACCAAAATATTCTAAAAAGAAACATTTCTAAAATAATTTCATTCATTTGTGAATAAGATCTGAAAGATTCATTAAAATCTGACAATTATTTGATTTTTGAAAGAATTTCCACCATAAAAAAGATGCTAAAATTTCCTATACTGATCTTTCTTCCCTCTGCTGATGCAAGAAAAACAAGAATTTTAACCTAAACTAGCAGTAGAGCCCGGCGTTGCCCGGGGATCTAACAGTAAGAGATAGATCAAGT